ACCTGCTAAAGGATTTGCATTTGTATGCATTAATCCCTCAGATTACATAGGTCTGCCCCCCAACACAACCAGGAAGATAACATTACATTTTCTGTTACAACAATGGAATACATTGTTGTCATCTTCCTGCTCATTGGACAATTGAGCAGCACAGTGATTAAATCAACTCTGCTCATTCTGTACTCATCTCCTATCAGAATGTAACTTATCACAATGTCTGGAGCTTACCTGATTGGTTCCCAGTAGTGCCCCTCCTTATCCCAGTTTGTTTAATGCTATCCAGGGGATTACAAGGGGTGGATACCAAATCAAATTTAGGTACTTACATAGGTTGCATTACAAAAATATATTTATTTATTAATGAAATATTTAAAAATCTGCGATAATTTGAGTCTTTTATATCTGCCTGAAGTTTATCTTTATCTCTTACTTCAAAGAAAATGTATTTATAAGATATGTTTCGAAGGTATGGGTCTGTTTTTGCTTTACTGCTTGAGCTAAAATTTATATAGTTTCAATTCATAGTCATAGGTTCACCCACAGGACTTACTTCAGCTTTAAGGCCTAGCTGTGGACTACAGTGGCCTTACACTGTCTGTAATAGAATGCCAAATCTGTTCCAAAGCAAAGCATGATATAGGGCTCATGGGACCTTTTGCCTCTCCCGAATGCATTACTATTACTAATCTAAAAAAAAAAAGACACACATAAGTTCATTTATTGGCACTTTTATTGGCTAAAACAAATAAATAATAATAATATGTTAATAAACTTTTATTAATAATAAAACGTACACTTTTATTATCAATCATAAATCAAATAGCTCAGTCATTCAGGACTCGAGAGCAAACAGAATAACAGATATCACAAGATCGCTCTTTCAATAAAAAGGGTGACAAATCACATAAAGTGCCTTGCCATAAATTGTGCCGATGCTAACCAACTGGTGAATTCTCTTCATTGTAGCTTTACATATACTAAGCCCCGCAGCCAGGGGTGGACTGACCATTTGGAAACTCGGGCACTGCCCGAGGGCCCGGGGTCAGTAGGGGGCCCCATGAGATGCCCCTGGTACCTTTTTCATAGGCTTTTTTTGAGTTTGGGCAAGGACACAGGCCCCATGATCCCCTATTGCCCGGGGGCCCCATGAGTTGTCAGTCCGCCCCTGCCCACAGCTTCCAGAACCTTCTACTGGGTTATGTGACATTCCAGAATCTTCAGGTCACAAGATGTACTTTTTCCCACGCAAACCTTATTTAAACCTTTACAGGGACAGTAACTTTTTTTAGCTTAAAGGTTTTATGGGGTAAATTTAATTTTTTTAAACAAAAAGGGGGGACGCATGCCCATGCTATCAGGCCCAAAGAATTGATCCCTCTTATGTCACAGATGTTAAAGAAAACTGAATGAAAGATATTAGCAATGTGTACCATGAAGTTTTTTAAATGATGTAGAGACTTCATCCTTTATTGTTCAAACACACAAACCTCCATAATAACATGACATATAAAATCACCTATTTTATCAGTCATCCACATCAAACTATCAAAAATAATTTATTTGTAATCAGACCACATTGAGATGAAATCTGATTGGTTGATATTAGGTATAGCATTTTGTACTCTATGCTTTTTCCGTTGACAGCCCTTTTTAATAAACCTTTGTACATGAACATAACTACAATCCTTAAAAATATCCTTTCAGGTTACATAGTTAGTCTGGCTGAAAAAAAGAAAAAGCCCATCTAGTTCAACCATAAAAAAAAAAAAAATGTATGATCCTATACCCACAGTTGATCCAGAGCAAGGCAAAAAAAACCCCAGCAAAGCATGACCCAATTTGCTCCTGCAGGGCAAAAAAAATTCCTTCTTGATCTGCAGAGAGGCAATTGGATATTCCCTGGATTAACTTTACCTATGAATATTAGTATCCAGTTATATTCTGTGTATCTAAGAAAGAATCCAGGCCTTTTTAAAAGCAATCCACTGAGCTGGCCAGAACTAACTCTTGAGGGAGTCTATTCCACATTTTCACAGCTCTCACTGTGAAGAAACCTTTCCGTGTTTGTAGTTTACATTGGAGATTAAATTTCTTTTTCTCCAGACGCAAAGAGTGCCCCCTTGTCCTTTGTGATGACCTCAGGGTGACTAATGCAGGCCATAGATGGGAGAAAAACGGCCGATTTTTTTTCGTCCGAAAATAAAACCGGCCGATTATCTTATCGTTAGTGGACGATTTTGTCGGCCGTTTTTCGTGTATTTTGGACTTTCAGATTATCGGTGATGTTGGAAAATTTTCGAAAAACGCCCCCGACTTTATCCTCATTGATGGTCAAAAACGAACGATCGTTTTCCGAAAAAGGATCACAAAGGCCACAAAATGACATCATTTCCCGTTATAGGTTACTCATTAATCGGCCGATTTTCGTAATAATTGGTGGTCAGGTAAGTTTTTTTAGACCGACCGATAGTTCGTTAATCGGCTGAAAATCTGCCGTTTTTCTCCCCATCTATGGCCTGCATTACTCTACACCAAGTTCACTATATGAACCACTGATGTACTTATACATGTTGATCATATCCCCCCTTAATCTCCTCTTCTCAAGAGAGAATAAAGTCAGTTCCTCTAATCTGTCCTCATAGCTGATCTCCTCCATGCCTCGTATCAGTTTGGTTGCCCTTCTCTGTACTTTCTCCAGTTCCCCAATGTTCCTTTTGTGAACTGGTGCCCAAAATTGAACTGCATATTCCAGATGAATTTTTACTAATGATTTGTACAGGGGTAATATGATATCTCTCTCTCTGGAGTCTATACCTCTTTTAATACAAAAGAGGATTTTGCTCGCTTTAGAAACTGCAGCTTGGCATTGCATGCCATTATTAAGCTTGTGATCTAGCAGAACTTCCAGATCCTTCTCCACCATTGATTACCCCAGTTGTACCCCCCCTAGTATGTATGATGCATGCATATTCTTAGGTCTCCAAATAAATTAAACCATTAGGTCCCAGGTTGAGAATATCAATAATATTTACTACTCTGGTATTGTGTGTTCCACCTTCCCCCGGTTTTAGCACTACAGCCTACATCAGTGTCTTCAGCATTCAACACTTCCAGGAGTGTCGGATGTCTGTATTTCTTGCTGTGTGCCACGACTCCTTCCTTAAACCTCCACATTACGGATGAAGATTATAGTAATGTTGGGTTCAAAGAATTGAACATGGCCCAAGGTGAGGGACACAGACATCGAATGTGCTCCACATGCTCTTCTTTTCCAGAGCAGTAAAATTATGTTAATCAGAAGATGTTTGAAACAGAATTACACATTTTGGCAGGTATAACATTTCACATTCTTACATGTATATCAGCTGTATATTTGCTGTTAGTCTGAACTGTTATGTAACCGTTTTATATGTAATAGTCATTTCTGCAGAATGTACATCAATATTTATGTTTTGTAACATCCTGCATATTTCAAGATACAGAAGGCAGCAGTCTAAATATGTGCATTTATGTAGCATTGAGGTTGATTTTTCTACAGGCAAATAGGCTGGAGAATGTATCCCAGAGCTTAGTGAACAAGGTAAAAATCTGCTTACTTCCATCATCCTGTCATGTCTAAGCAAAAAATGTATTATTATTTTCATTGCATGCAATTGGGTTTTCTTTACAGAGTGAAATTTCACCATTCACTACACTCTGGAGAAAATTCCCTTGCAAAGAGCAACTTCTCTTTGCAAAGTGAACAGCCTATTTGCCTTAGTAAATAAACCTCAAAGAGCTTGTACTGTCAGTACCAATCCACCGTATCCATTGGTGAACCAGCCAGTTAACCCTTTGAGGACCAAGGGACGTATTTGTCCCATGTTTTTAATTGCCTGTATCATCTGATTAAGAACTTAAAATACTTTTTTTTTTTTGGTTTGAGTCAAAATATTAGTTCTTATCAACAAATGGATCTAGCTTTTTGCCAATTATTTCGTGAAATGGCTTAGTTACAGAAACTGAAGTGTATGAACTTTAAAAACAAAAAATTGATTCTTTTGGCGTTCCGTAATCTTATGGTCCTCAAAGGGTTAATGTTATTAAACCCAGTATATACCGATCAGCCATAACTTTATGACCACTGACAGGTTAAGTGAATACCATTGATTATCTCATTGTAATGGCTTCTTAAACTCGGTGGGATATGTTAGGTAGCAAGCAAACATATTATCCCTGAAATTGATGTGCTGAAAGCAGAAAAAATCAACAGTTTATTGTGTATGGGGCTGTGCAGCTGTTGACCGATCAGGGTTCGTCATTCCCTGACCATAGCCAAAAGTGTCAATAATGGGCAAGTAAGCATCAGAACGGACCACAAAGCAATGGAAGAAGGTGGCCTGGTCTGATGAATCATGTTTTCTTTTGCATCATGTGGATGGCCAGGTGTGTGTGCTTCAATTACCTGGGGAAGAGATGGCACCAGAATGTAGTGTGGGAAGAAGGAAAACCAGCAGGGACAGTGTGATGCTTTGGACAATGTTCTGCTGGGAAGTTTTGGTCTTGCCATTCATGTGAATGTTACTTGACATGTACTCCCTAGCAAACATACCAAAAATCAAAAAATCAAATTTCTTTATAAATTCAGGCCAAAATGTATTCTGCTACATGTCTTTGGTAAAAAAGAAAAATCTCCAAATTAGTGTATATTAATTGCTTTTTTGAAAAAGATATAGCATCTACAAACTATGATATATGTCCTGGAATTGGCTATATTGTAATGGCGGTGATTAGCGACTTATAGTGTGACTGTGATAGGGTGGAGGGCAATCTGGCACTAACAAATACTCTCTGGAAGCATCACTGACACTGACATCGCTAGTGACACTAATACAGTGATCAGTGATCACACTGTACACTGACACTGTACTAATGACACAGATTTAAACACAAGGGGCCACGGCTGTCAATCACTCATTGGTGCCCAGTGATTACTGAGGATCTGCAACGGGGATGAGAACTGTAATGGGGAGGAGAACTGTTTTGTTTACTAACAGTTCTCCTCCCTGTCAGCTCGGGCACACTGCTTTGGATGGCTGTGCACAGCATGGCCATCCAAAGCAGTGCACTTACAGTGAAGCGCACAGACACCAACCCCTAGTAAAACACACTTAGCACAGAGTTAACCCTTTGATCACCCCTCATGTTAACCCCTTCCTTCCCAATGCCGTTAGTACAGTGTCAGTGCTTTTTTTTTAACACTGATCACTGTATTGGTGTCACTGGGGATGTCAGTGATACCAAGTCAGTTCCCCCCAGTGTCAGAATGTCTGTCGCAGTTCTGCTATAAGGCGCTAATCACCGCCATTACTAGTAAAAATGTAAAAAAAAAATCCCAGTATATATACTGCCATTTGTAAACACTATAACGTTCACATAAACCAATTATTTACACGTATTGGGATTTTTTTTTCAGCAAAGACAGAACACATTTTGGCCTAAATTTATGACGAAATTTGATTTTTAACATTTTTTTACTGGATATGTTTAATAGCAAAAAGTCAAAAATATTTCTCAAAATTGTCAGTCTTTTTTATAGTGCAAATACCACCAAAAGAAAGCTCAATTCGTGGGAAAAAAAGGACGTAAATTTTATTTGGGTGCAGCGTTGCATGACTGCGCAATTGTCAGTTAAAGTAACGCAGCAGCGTAACGCAAAAAATGGCAAGGTCTGTAAGGGGGATAAATCCTCTGGAGGGCAAGTGTTTCCAGTATTACATGGTGCATAATTAAACATTTAATACAAGACATGAAAGTGTACCTATTGCTTTGTTGCTAAATTGGAAAACACGGGTTTGCAATCATTTGCAAGCCAGGCCTTTGTTCCTTTATTATTTTCTACTCTGGTTAGCTAAGTGGGAAATCAGTCCTAAAATAATGGAACCTTTCCACATCAATACACCTGTCAAGATCTTTCTTTTGAATTTCGCAGGAAGTTACGAAAATAACTTTCGGTACACATTCTGTAGAAAAGAATCTTTCAACATAATCCAGTTACATACAGTATACTTTTTAAAGGAGATTCTCTGGTCACAGCATACACTTTTATTTTATAATATCAGCATTGTAATAACATTACATACAATAGTTATTATTGACAATCCAATATAAACTTACTTGAAAAATCTTCTTTCATGTTGTGAGTTCTGCCTGTCTCCTGGTCATCTCTTTCCAAAACTTCCTAGATTCCCTGCATGCTTTGCAGCTTCCCCTCTGCTGTTTCCTTTTATTTTCCAAGGACTACATATCCCATGATACCTTGCTGCCTGCTTTCTTTGATTCCTGTGCTGACTCCACCTCCAGAAACTGCTCCTTTTAGCACCTCTGTAGTTCAGAAGGCAGGCTCTGTGAAATGTGTGATACAGCAGTGCCTACCCACAGGACATTGTGAATACATGTCACAAACTTCAAGGAAGTAAATGTGTGGGATCTTCACAAAGTAAGTTTATAAACTTCTAGATAGGAGTAGGCTCCTTCAACATGAACTATTTCCCTCCTTGCATATAGTACAATGACAGCTGGGTGAACCTCTTGTCCCTCCATGAGGGTGTCATATGACCTCCTTCCCTGATCATGCTTTTCTTGCTTTAGCAAAAAATAAAAACCCCAGTGGTGATTAAATACCACCAAAAGAAAGATCTAGTTGTGTGAACAAAATTAGAAAAGTTTTGTTTGGGTACAGTGTTGCATGACCGGTCAGTTGTCATTCAAAGTGTGAAAGCGCTGAAACATGAAAATTGACCTGGGCAGGAAGGGGGTGAAAGTGCCCGGTAGGCAAGTGGTTAATATTGGCCTACTTGGCTTGATGATACCACCCCCTACTCCAATGGGTTGTGTCTGAATCTTCTGAAATGTTTTATTTGTAACATTATCAAGATTTGAGCTTTCCAGGGTAATTTATGTCTAATTACTAGACATGCATGCCGAAAATTTTTGTTTTGTATCGGATGCATTTGTTCATTGAAGAATTTAGTTTTGTCACATTTGTTATGTTAAACCGATTTGATTTTGGAATTCGTTTCATATCTTTAACAGTAGTTTAGTATATTCATTGATCCAGTTGGATTTTAAAAATTTTGCAGTTTTTTTCCGAAAGATTGCTATATATTAGTGTTCGGTTTCGATATTTTGGGTGGATTCAATATCCAATATTTTTTTTGAAGCAATTAAATAAATAATGCATAATTTGGTGGCCCTAAATTTTTCAATTCTAAGAGTTGCACTAGGCTGTGGAAATTAACTGACTGTAACTATTTCAATTTAAAGTGGAGTTCCAGTCTTTTTTTAAACTTCCAATATTTCTAATGCCCCCCCAATGTACAGTGCAAAATGGAAATTATTTTTTTGTTTGTTCCTAAATACCTTTATTATAATTCTTTGGGCGGCAGTTCCTGTCCCGGCCGCCTAGGCGATGACATCATTAGGCGATTCCCATTGACTGTTGGGATATCGGCGTCTTTGGGAAGCCTAATAATGTAATGTGATTGACAGGTTGCCGTTGCAACAGGGTGGGTACTTCTGCTGCCGCCGCCATTGCTACAGCAACCTGCACTAAACAAAATGCACTGCGCACTGTCATTACTGTGCAGGCTCAAGTGCAGTGTTGCATGACCACTCAATTGTCATTCAAAGTGTGAGAGCGCTGAAACATGAAAATTGACCTGGGCAGGAAGGGGGTGAAAGTGCCCGGTATTGAAGTGGTTAAACTGAAAGAGGGTAGTGGCTATTATGCCAAGTTATTAATGTATTAGTAACATTTTATCAATCATATACATTTTTTACTAAAGGCAAAACCTTTTAAGTAGTTTTGGTTAGAGTGGAAAGGGATTAGAACACCTGCCAGGTTTTATTGCCATTTGTGCCCCCGGTTAAGAACAATCACCCTCTCCATGTGTCTTTTTTTTTTTTACCACCACAAAGAGCGAACGTGAAAGAAAATCCCAAATTTTGGGCTTTCACCAGGAATAGAGGGAAAATCTTCCTAAAGGGATACTAGTTCTGGTGACAAGAAGTGATTCACTTTGGAGGAAATTATAGCTCTCTCTTACTCTGTTCAAAAATGAAAAAAAAAATGTTTTGCCTTTAGTTCTACTTTAACAATCCTCTAACAATGTGAGAGAAAGATAACTGGACCGACTGGTCACCAGATAAAGAATACCACACAACATGTTTTTTTTTTTTGGTTGGCCAGGAGATGGTGCTGCGGGCTTAAAGGCAGAAATAGATAACATTCCTGTCAGCTACAGTATGTTCAATCTGCTCTAATGATGTACTTAAATTTCCTTTATACCCTTGGTTCCAAAAAACAATATCATATAATGCTTCTAAAAAAAGGCAACATGGTGCTATATTAGAAGATGGAATGCTTACCCCAGTGTAGTGTGATGGTCAGTCATCATGGAACTAGCGGAGGCAAGAACTTCTCTCACTACAAGCATTAGATCTGTTCCAGATACTAATTTATTTGTCTAACAAAATATCCTACAGCCAATGGATTTTTCACCAGAGGAACTTGCATGCTTGTGCTTTGGAGGATGGATGGGTACACAGTAGGAAAGAGATAAAAATGAACAGTGCATTTTTCCAGCCAGTCTTCTGGCTTGAAGAAAAAAGGGCGAAGGAAGAGGAAGAAGCAGGGATGTGTCTTGCCACCCTAAACTGTGAAGCTGTTTGTTTCTATTGATGCACACAGTATAGGGAGACACAAATCTAGTCCCTGCATGCAAGGGTGACTCCATAGCATGCTGCAATGGAAAAGAGCCACCCTGAAACAGGAGACTTGAGGCTACAGTCAGGGTAGCAGAATAAACTTGAACATGGGGTACACACACACTTTTTATCTGGATGTCATGTCATGTTACATCATTGCTCCTACCATCTGTAAGGAAAAGAAATAGAAACGTAACTTTGTTAAGTTTAGTAGTTCCAACGAGTTTGTAATCCCCCCCCCCCCACACACGCACACACTCAAAGAATTATCACTTTTTTATACATTATTCAGTTGCAATGTTAGAGACGGATGCCTGACATTGCAGCTAGTGGCTGGTTTGATAGCAAGCATCTGTCTCTGGCTCCCAGCACTTGTTCACTGATTTGGTGTGGGGGACACATTAGATGCCTTCCGCTGCTATTGTACTCTTGCTGGGCGTTCAATGTGTCACCATGTCTTTAAAGAAAAGTAGGTTCCCTCCAGACAAACGTGCCCTTAATTTATCCACTATTATATACAGTATGCTCCAACTTTGAAACTCTCAAAACTATAGAGATATGACCACAGTATACAGAGGAGCCTTGATGTGGGCACTGCGGCTTTCACATACACTATAATGCCAAAAGTAGTGGGACACTCCTCCAAATCATTGGATTCAGATGTTCCAATCAACTCCGTCACCACAGGTGTATACAATCAAGCACCTAGGCATGCAGACTGCTTCTGGAAACATTTGTGAAAGAATGGGTCACCTTCAGGAGCTCAGTGAATTCAAGCGTGGTACCGTGATAGGTTGCCACCTGTGCAATAAGTCCATTTGTGAAATTTCCTTGCTACTATATATTCAACAGTCAGCTGTTAGTGGTATTAAAACAAAGTGGAAGCAACTGGGAACAACAGCAACTCAGCCACAAAGTGATAGCCCACGTAAAATGACAGAACGAGTTCAGCAAATGCTTAAATGTACAATAAGTGCAGAAATTGCCAACTGTCTGCAGAATCAATACCTAAAGACCTCCAAACTTCATGTGGCCTTCAGATTAGCACAACAACAGTGCATAGAGAGCTTCATAGAATGGGTTCCCATGGCCAAGCAGCTGCATCCAAACCTTATATCACCAAGTGCAATAAAACACTTCAGATGTAAAGCATGTCACCACTGGACTCTAGAGCAGTGGAGACATGTTCTCTGGAGTGACGCTTCTCTGTTTGGCAATCACATGGACATGTCTGGGTTTGGCGGTTACCAGGAGAACGGTACTTGCTTGACTGCATTATGCCAAGTG